GAGAGAGATATATATATATATATATATATATATAGATAGATATGTAAATATATATAATATATGAACATTAAAGAAGAGGAACCCGAGAGTGTGAACAATTCGAACCCTTGACCTTCTGCTGTCTATGCAGATGCCTTAACCTGCCTTAACAAACATGGGCCACTGAGGTCCTTCATTGGCAATATAAATCCGATAAAAGAAACTAATCTTTCACAACATTACGCGTGCGTATTTGGACGGCACTATTCCTGGGTGAACGCAATAGCAGAGATCAATATGAACAGTATTATGTAGGTCTACCTAATTATCAAAACTTAAAAATTATTTTTTTCACAAAATGTTTTAAGGTTCTGACGCCCACCTCAGATTAATTGATGCTGAGCTAAGAGTTGGGAATAACTTTGAGAACTTTGCAATGAATAGCAAGTGTGGGAAATCGGTTTCAACCAAGGATGTTACCAACAGTGCGATCATCGACATGTTTTGTGATCCGCCAATTATAGGCCGGTATGTCAGCTTACAGTTGAAAGGAAAACATGAGTATCTGAGCGTATGTGAAGTCCGTGTCTACAGTGAAACAGATATTGAAAAAAGTAAATTACCCTTGGAATCATTCAACTAGCTCATTTTTTATTGAAAATATTTAATCTAATTTTTCCTGAATTATGTCCCTTGGTAAGAGAGGAAATATACTTATATTTGTGTGGATTTATTTATTTATTTGGCTTCACGCATATACAAAAACATTTATTTATAACAAATCTTAAGATGTTATTTAAGTTAAGACAATTCTGCTCATTAGAGGGTCCAGCTCGGGCGATTTGGGGGCCAATTATAGGCCGGTATGTCAGCTTACAGTTGAACGGAAAACATGAGTATCTGAGCGTATGTGAAGTCCGTGTCTACAGTGAAACAGATATTGAAAAAAGTAAATTACCCTTGGAATCATTCAACTAGCTCATTTTTATTGAAAATATTTAATCTATTTTTTCCTGAATTATGTCCCTTGGTAAGAGAGGAAATATACTTATATTTGTGTGGATTTATTTATTTATTTATTTGGCTTCACGCATATACAAAAACATTTATTTATAACAAATCTTAAGATGTTATTTAAGTTAAGACAATTCTGCTCATTAAGGGTCCAGCTCGGGCGATTTGGGGGCCATGTTCTGGCAAAATAAATGTCGCTTCCGGATCCCCCTAAGAGTCCGGTCCCTGGCATGACTTTCCCCCTTTCATTAGCCCATGGGAGGTCATAGGTGTTACTCCACTTCGTATTATCACGCCTTTTTCGTATGGTGACACCTTACACATTGACGATTTACCAGAGTGACGATTAGAGGCAGGGTGATATGCCTATATGGCCCTTTGTTCGGATAGCAAAAAATATGCATATAACGGATTTATTTTTCTTCATGTTAAGTACCTATAAAGCATACGGCCTAGTTGTAATTTATAATTTTCTTATAATTTCTTAAAGCTGAGTGCTACTATGATACAGAAGGCCTGGACTATAGAGGAATACGTACAACGACAACTGGCGGCTATTTATGCCACTATTGGAATACTGACGAGAACATGGCATATATCACCAATAATAACCACACGACTGAAGGGATAGGAGATCATAACTTCTGCAGGAATCCTGACATGGATGAAACGGTGTGGTGCTTCTCTGAACTTCCTGAAATAAATTGGCAAATTTGTGCTGTACCAGATCCGCAAGAGTCTTGTTCAATTGGTAAAACAATATCAATGCGAGAAAAATGATATTTTGCTATTCAGCTCAACCCTCGATTTACCTTTCTGTTATTGTAATAAACAATGTAATTAATCCATCAATTGTAATTGCACATTAACAAATATTAATAATTTAAAATAAACAGCAAATTGAATTGCCGAAGTTTTAAGTTCTCATTCAATTGAAAGTGTTGAAAATCCCAAAACGAAGCAGACACCAGTTACATAAACTAATGTTAAAACTCAATCAATATTGTCAATATTATACACTTAGGTTATTTATTGTTTGGAAGTAAGGAGTGAGCCAATTTCACTTCACTCCGCTTTCTTTTACTGACTTACATAAATGTTTGATGAATTTCAATCGATAAGCCTTGCAAATCATTAAGAGAAATTACTTTGCATGGCTGTAGAAGAGAAAATCGAATTCCCCCATTTACTGGTATTACTATTATTGTTAAAATCAGTTTAGTCAAGTGTTGCGTCGTTTCCATGGGTATATCCATCACATTGCATCAACTGTTAACTTGACTAAGGGGAACTGAAGATGGACCGTTCACTATTTTTTCTCTTCCTGTTCATATTATCGGCATCGTCATGTAAGTAATGTTTCATTCATACGTTTAGACAGTTCTACAATTCCAGGGGCGAATTCAGGATTTTTCGTGGGGTGTGGGGGATGGCGCGCCTTAGAAAAAGGTCAGATGGCGGAACCAACACCCAATGCATCAGTCTGAATCGCAATGGGAGAATATGGTGACCTCTTCACGAGGGTGTGCTTCATAAGCTAATGTTTTACAGACTCTTAATTAAAATAAAAGATTTAGTTTAGGCCAACTTACAGGGCTATTTTTTCATTAAAAACATGTTTTTCAGATGTTCTAAATCCGCTCCTGAATTCAAGACCAGATTTAAAACCTGACAATTCAGGCTCGTAGGCAGGATTTTCGATGGCGAGGTGCGTTTTGCTAGCGAACGGCCCTTAGGCTAAGGGGGGGGGGGTTATGGCTGTCATGGTAGGACCCCGTGGGGGTGGGGTGAAGCCCACGGAAGCTCCGACAAATTAGCATTTTGAGAGCTTCATAAATGGATTTTTATTCTATTTAAATTTTTATTTTGTAACTTTTTATGTCCTTTACATTTAAAGGCCACAGATAACATTCAATTGTTCATACTGGATCGATCTCCAATCACTGGAGCTGATAATTTCCAACAGATTTCGTACCACAATTATTAAAAATCAAAGGCTTGAAGAGCGGCAAATAATATGCAATGCATACTATAGCCATCTATAGCTATGTATATAGCTATAGTTTTTACTGAATTAAGCAGAGGTTAAACAAAAAATTCTTATGAGAGTTGGAAGTCGAGTGGGGGTCTGGGGGCGAAGCTCCGACAAAGTTGCATTTTGAAACCCATAATTTGTGAATATTCCATTCGAATTTTTATTCATTTGGGTGTTGGGACCTGAAGAAATAAGGCTTTTATGTTCTTTATATATATCTGTAGGACTACAGATAATTTTTTGTCATAATGGATCAATCTGAATCATTGTAGCTGATACTGTAATAAAAAAAAATCGTACCACAGTTATTCAAAATCAACGGTTAGAAGAGCTGGCAAAAGTGCATTTTCCGATAATTAGGAACGATTTTAGTGAAATAGGTTTTAAAAAGTGGAATTTCAAGGTCAAGGGACAGGGTCATGGAGAGGGGATTTGGGGGAAAATCCCCCGAAAGCTTCAATAAAGCAGCATCTTGAGGGCCTTATATTATAATTGATTTCTCGAACACATAGCCTTCCTCAACGAGCTTGGACCCCTCGTCAGGGAATTCCTGGCTACTTTTCAATAAAATGGAGCTAAAACTAACATTCAGTATTATAATAATAGTAAAGTAATCAACTATTGTATCATTAAAGTAATAGACTACTGAAAAATTCTATTATTTCTATTAATAAATCGAATTGTACAATTTTCAGCTTATCTTTCACTGAAGCGTTCTATCTATAGTGAAACACCCTCGGAAACGCTCAGAAACGCAGTTGATGGGAATGACGCCTTCTCCAATCAGACCTGTTACACATCTACAAGTAAAACATATTCTATAATTTGATCACACGAACCGTTTTATTTGTAGCAAAGAGTTGTTTGTAGGCATTGCTGTGTAATCCAACTCAAGTATAGGCTTATAATTATGCGTCGCACTGATAGAATGACAGTTTTTATATACTTCAATTATAGGCCTATGTGTTTTTACCACAGGTAATGGTTTCGAAGAGTGGATAAAAATAGACCTTGATCAACAATTTAACGTAACCAGTATCACAATCATTAATAGAGTCGAAAATGGTATGTGTTTAATTTAAATTTTCAATGTGGTATTTTTAAAAGGGTCTTGGATCTTTTTTTCGATCCTGTTTATGAGCAAAGCCTAGGCTATGTTATGTTCACCACATCATCGTCATATTTAAAGCCTTATACGGTAATCATCAACATAATATTTATAGGCCTACCCCTAATCATGCAGTACTGCAATCATCAAAATTTTCTAGTTTCTAGTCTAGTTTTCACATTTATCACTCGCACTAATACCAAAGAACTTTTTTTTTGTCCCTTGTGGGGTTATCCCAATTTTATTTCTTCTCACATTTCATCATTACATAATTTACAATTAATAGGTTTTATGTTGTACTGTGAAATATCCTGAGTTCTCAATAGATAATGAAACTAAAAGGGCTTTGTTTCTACTCTAGTAATTTGATTGAAAATCAGTGGCGGAGCTACGGTTGGGGGGCGCCTAGGCAGGGCTACAGCCCCCCCCCCCCCGTCGGGGAGGCCTTGGCGAAAAGCCACAATTCGTCGTGGAGAAAACAAAATCAAAAAAATTGTATGTATTTTGTACATATTAATAGACTCGGAAATCGATTATATAAGCTTTTGAAACCCGTAATTGTCATATTTTCGGGGGCTACGTCCCCTGGAGTACTTTCCCGACCACGCCCACATTTTTATCGTCGGGGACATCAGTCCCCACCCCTGTCCCCGGACCCCCGTCGGGGAAATCCTGGCGCCGCCACTGTTGAAAATGTATAGATTTAAGCCTACAATTACGAAGTTACACGAAGTCATAATACGATCAGTGTCGTAGATTTCATGGGGTATCTATGAATATAGGTTGGTCATTTCAGATCTCAGTGGGTCAATTCACAGAAACATAATCATAAACTTTAAAAATGTTGTGTACAAAACTTATGGAGAGGATTACCCATAAATAGGTAAGTACATTATTTAAGTAAATAAGCAAAGTTATGTTTTATATTTTAGTTATCCTGAGTTGGTAATCCATTATACGCCTAAATGTATTTTTTTTTTAAATTTGTACAGTATTATTTTTGTCAGGTTTCCTCCTCAGTAATCTATTAAATTTGTCATCTAATCCTGTGCAATGTACGAGCTCCGGGGGCTTCGCCCCAGCCCCCAGGCTTAGAGCCCTTAGAGGGGCCCCCGTCGGGGAGAAAAACCACAATTCGTCGGGGAGAAAAAAATGTGCTTGTATTTTCCACATATTATTACTCTAAAATCAATTAAATAAGCCTTCGAATCCCCTAAATTTTGTCATATTTGTAGACAGTTTCGAAAGATTTTAGGTAACGCCCGACCACGCCCACTTTTTTCATCGGGGACATCGGACCCCTGTCGGGCAAATTCTGGCGCCGCCCCTGAACTATATTATAATTAGGTCTACCTAACACGTGAGATGAAGACACTAAAATTTACCGGTATACGGTGGTACCGGTATTTCACTAAATAATTAATGGTTCGTTAAGCATTAAAAAAAAAAAAACAAATTTGATTTTTGCCTTGTTTTATATATTGTCAATAAAATGTATAGGCCTAATGTATCTCAGTTTGCAAATTCATAATTTATACTCATGCAAAAACAAGAAACTAAGTTCATGTTTGGCTTATTTTGAATCAACTTGTTTGCACGATTTTTACAGGAATCCATGAAGTCTGCTCCTTTGCAAATACTTTGCAACGGGAAATGAAAAAATGGTCTAAAAGTTCATTGTATACTATCAAAGGAGGTTTAAAATAAATAATCTTCGAAATTGTAAAATACAGGGAAAACGGTATTCTAAATGTAATAATATACACTTTCTGAGCCCAACACTTTCTTGCATCTTCGAGTAGGAATTGACAACAGAGCACCATTCAAAGATAATATATAATTACACCGACAACAACACATTAAATACAGGTACATTAGGCCTATTTAGTCAATTAAAAATTTCAAAATGAGTATAAGTCAATCTTTACGTCATCATTGGATTAATCTAACCGTATAATTTAGTAATTCCCATCTATTTATGTGTATGATTGCTAATTGTTTATTAAATCGGGTACTTTAACGACAGAGGAAGATCTTTTAAGTATAAAAATGTTATGTAATGTCGACAGAGACTGCTCGGCAAGTAAAGGTGCATTTACACCGAATCCGAATTGTAATGTAAGAATATCGACGCTGGCGTTCAGTGTACCGAAAATGCTGTCCGAATTTCGGTTCGGATCCAATGTGAATGAAGCTTATATTAAGCCTGGTTTCCATAAAAAGAAAATCGCTACACGCTATCGCCAACTTCTTTGGCGACGCTGATTGGTCAGTTGAATAAAGAAGCGTTTCCGATTGCGTCGGTTACATTTGTGCAAGCTTAAGTTGCACATTATATATGTTATGCTGACCTTGGTATGGTATTATTGTGTAAACTTTATTTGTTAAATTTTGTAACAGGTTGTTATTTTAATTGCACCGTTAGGTATTGTCTATCGTGTGCCGCTGTTACAAAAGTGCTATTCAATAAATATATCTATCCAATCTGAAAATTGAATCAGTATGTAATTGAGACGCTGGCGTTCAGTGCATCGGAAACACGGTCCGAATTTTGGTTAAGATCAAATGTGAATTCAGCTCAACCCTCGATTTACCTTTCCGTTATTGTAATAAACAATGTAATTAATCCATCAATTGTAATTGCACATTAACAAATATTAATAATTTAAAATAAACAGCAAATTGAATTGCCGAAGTTTTAAGTTCTCATTCAATTGAAAGTGTTGAAAATCCCAAAACGAAGCAGACACCAGTTACATAAACTAATGTTAAAACTCAATCAATATTGTCAATATTATACACTTAGGTTATTTATTGTTTGGAAGTAAGGAGTGAGCCAATTTCACTTCACTCCGCTTTCTTTTACTGACTTACATAAATGTTTGATGAATTTCAATCGATAAGCCTTGCAAATCATTAAGAGAAATTACTTTGCATGGCTGTAGAAGAGAAAATCGAATTCCCCCATTTACTGGTGTTACTATTATTGTTAAAATCAGTTTAGTCAAGTGTTGCGTCGTTTCCATCCCATTTGATTTGAACATTTGGTATGCTATATATTGGTTTTAAATATGATGTGTAGAATTTTTTAACATTTGGTTTCTTCAAAATAATGTCATAATTTGTTTTACAATCGTTTTCCCTGTGTGTTAAACAGTAGGGATTATATTTGATAATATTTTTCCAACTATTTGGAATGGCTGCATTTAATTGTGTATGCTCAATTAAAGTGTTGTGTGTTTTTGAGAGAGATTGTGGTATTTTTAGAAGGGCTATGTTATGTTCACCACATCATCGTCATATTTAAAGCCTTATACGGTAATCATCAACATAATATTTATAGGCCTACCCCTAATCATCCAGTACTGCAATCATCAACATTTTCTTAGTCTAGTTTTCACATTTATCACTCGCACTAATACCAAAGAACTTTTTTTTTGTCCCTTGTGGGGTTATCCCAATTTTATTTCTTCTCACATTTCATCATTACATAATTTACAATTAATAGGTTTTATGTTGTACTGTGAAATATTCAATATGAGTATTTACAGAGATAAAAATCACTTTTCTTTAAAATTGGTTAGTCCATCGTGATGGCTAACTATTACTCCTTTATAGTTATTTTCATAGTAACGTACGACATTTAAATATATGTTTTCAATGCGTTCCTTTTATATGTATATTTTTCACATTATATTCTACTAACCCTTTTTTAATATAAATAATATACATACATACATATACATTGTACTCGCATACATGCCAGGATGACAAGTAGCTTACATTAATCAAATATTGATCAGAAATCCTAGGCATATGTCAACATACCTACATACATCCACACTCACGTTAAATTTCACATACACATACCTATATGTGCAACACCCACACCTAAACAATAAGCATATTGGGGCCTATAAATGAAGAAGTTATCTATATACACATAACTCCATAATGCCATTTTAATTATTTTTTTTGTTTTTTGTGTTTACATTTTAAATTTTATTTAATAACTTTCTGTTATAATACTCTATTGAAAATAAGGTGGCTGTGGAATTAAGCTTCAATTTACCAATGTGCTTTAACGTTCGAGCCTTGTATATACAGAATGCTCCAAGACTACAGACATCATCTAAAATACCAAAGAACTTCAATACAGTAGCAGAAGAATGAGCTGTCGCGTATTTGCATTAAAATTGATGGAACATCCGCCCTCCCGCGAGCGGGATAAAATTTGACCATTTGACTAAGTGGAGAAACTACAGAAAGCAAACAAACACGAGGGGTGCCGTGCCGTATTCGTTTAATCGTTCTTCGTTAAACCACGCCCACCTGCGCAGCGGTAAAATCCTACTTAACGAAGACGACCAGTCGAATAGAAATCTTGTAAATACTCGACAAAACAAAATGGCTGTTTTGGTGTGTGATATGTGTAGCGTGTCTTGTATGAATATTTAAATATACCATCGACATTAATTATTCATTCCCTGACGGAACTGGTGCCCATATAACGCTTACCGATACACGGTGCGTAGACAAGATTGCTTCGGCTTGTGGCAGTATGGGTTTTTCGTTAAAAAATATATTCAATTATTATACAATTATTTTTTGACTTCGTGTGGGTAAATATTATAATTTTTATTTTCTGAAATTTAATCTAAATAATATTGACGCAAATGTTGCTTCTAAACTCACCAATCAGCCATGTTTGTTTTGGTCACGTGGATAACTTAACACTGATTAATATGGAACGCCGTTAGTATCTTCGGTGACCAACCGCATACATCATGACCAAACCACAACATCAAGACCAAACCACATAACGCCATGATCATACTAAATAACGTCATAACGATTGCACATAATAGAGTGTTTGCACATAACCGGAGATACTAACGGCGTTCCATAGATTCACGCACTGTGGTTTACGTTAATTTTCGTTGTCAACGAAGTCAATTTTACGAACCAATCGAATGAAAATAATACTTAACGAAAAATCGTAGTCAACGAAATGAACCAGTCGAATACACCCATTGATCTATATCGCCGCCATGCGGACGGGGTAAAATTGCTCTGCGGACGGGGTAAAATTGCTCTCCGTGTATCATATCCACAATGAGAACTTCCGATGGGTTTTTTTCGAGATGGGCTTCTTTTCGAGGCTCCTTTTGCAAAGTAAAATGGTGGGTTTCTTTTCAAAATGAATGATAATAAATTTTAGAAATTATTGTATAAAACAATAAATAGGACATGGCCACTATAACATCAATCTGTATTATGGAGTCATATTAACCTGCATTAAATCACCTAAACTACTGTAAACCAAGTAGGCCTATGTTTTTAATTTTGTTTCTTTGAAATTTACAGTTTATGTACTGCACTATCTAAAAAAAAAGGCCCATTCGAATTCCAAAGGCTTCTTTTCGAGGCTACTTTTGCAAACTAAAGAGGGCTTCAATTCGAGATGGGCTTCTTCTCGAGATTAAGCCCATTGGGCTTCTATTCGAGGTTTTATGGTAAATTGCAATTACTGAGTGCTCAAATACAGGAACACGCGATGCCATACGTATCATATTATAACTATTACACTGATTAAGTGAAAGAAAGAAAAGACGACGAAATATTTGTTAAAACAGTCTCTGATGCCAAAATACGTTAAACCTTTCTTTGTTGTTTGTTTCTGACAGAAACGTATGTAAATTATAATAAGTACGGTTATACAAAGTAGTATAGTATACGTTACTGGCATTAAACATAACATTTTGATCGAATATTTCAAACCCTCTTGTGCTCTTTACCAGTAATAACACGTGTACTGCTATATGGTATTGGTATTAGTACGGTCATTTATAATGCGCCTCTTCCTTGCGGTTATAGAGCGCAGTTCTTTTCCCTGGTCATTGGGTCCACATGCTAAGTGTCGCTGCTGGTAATCAACGCAGGAGCAGGCAACCCCACCAGGCACCAATTTATACTCCTGGGTGAAGAGAAGCAATGCAGATAAAGTGTCTTGCCAAGGACACAAGCGAAATGCACAGTGAGGTATTGAAACTCCGACCTTAAGTTTGGGAAAAACATTTTCGATATGAGAGCAACTGTACAAATCAACTTAAGACAAAATTCAGATGATAGTACTTTCAAATTAAAACCCTAACATTATTTCTTTAACCAAATGAGTAAACATGAATAATAATTGTTTAACATTACAAGTTTGAAATATATGTATTTTCATGTATGCTTATCCGTTCGGATGTTTTTCTGAATAAATTAAATTGATAATTACATGATACTATTTTCTTCACAAAATTTATTTAGATCTTGACACTCACCTCAGATTGGCCGATGCTGAGCTGAGAGTTGGGAATAACTTTGAAAACTTCGCAATGAATAGAAAGTGTGGGGCGTCGATTTCAACCAAGGATGTTACCAACAGTGCGATCATCGACATGGTTTGTGATCCGCCAATTATAGGCCGGTATGTCAGCTTACAGTTGAAAGGAAAACATGAGTATCTGAGCGTATGTGAAGTCCGTGTCTACAGTGAAACAGATATTGAAAAAAGTAAATATACTGAGAACCTATAGGTTGCATTACACTTTTGTCTATTGATAATGTAGAATTAATATTTAAATGCAAAAATTAACTTATAATATATATTTGGAACAAAAATAAAAGGATGATTTCGAAATTGCTCCTGGTCATCGGAGAGAAATTGCTGATATTAAGCAGAGTTAAGAGGACACAGGGTACGAAAGCACTTTATAATACCCTGTCCGTATAACGACACCTCTTTGAAACCGTTTTATATTAATATAGTAAATAAAAGTAATAACAATAACAACAATAATAATATAATAATATCAATAATGATATCAATAATAATAAATATTATGACTGTTTATGTATATATATATATCGTTATCGCATAAAGCTGAGTGCTACTACAGGACAAACGGAAGGGATTATAGAGGAATGCGTACAACGACAGTTGGCGGTCTTTTATGTGACTATTGGGATACAGAATACGGAGAATATTTTTTAAGTAGCAGCGTTTATAATACAACCTTCGAATCCACTAACATACTAGGAGTTCATAACTTCTGCAGAAACCCTGACGGAGATACAACTGTGTGGTGCGTAACCGAGACAGGATGGGAGTATTGTGCTGTGGAAAATCCGGGAGAGGCATGTTCAATACGTAAGTTGCAATCGAAATGTACATTTTCCATAGGGAATATGTACATGTGACGTAGTTTGAGAGAGAAGGATACATGGCGGAGAGAGTGGTCAAGAAGTGTAGCGGCAGTCGGTGTTAAAAACTAAAGTATTTTTACCAAGTTCGTTTAGTGATAATCACATTCACAATCGTCGTTATTATTATATCATAACAGGCACCAATTTGGTAATACCATTTCGCTTGAAATAGAATCTGTTTTGTGCAAGCAGTCGCAGAGACAGGGGTGGCGCCAGGATTTGCATTACGGAGGGGGGGGGTGTCCCCGACGAGAGCAAAGTGGGCGTGGTTGGGCGTCGCTCAAACTCTTTCGAAAGCGGTCCAGGGGGCGAAGGCCCCTAAAAATATGACAGTTTGGGTGTTCCAAAGGCTTATTTAATCGATTGTAGCGTCTATACTATTATGTAGAAAATACTAGGGTGTCTAAGGGAGAGGGAGCATCAGGAAATAGTCAATAATTCTGTCGAGGAACACTGCTCTGAAAAAGCATTTTTATCGTCGGAGAGTGCCATTCCGAGCGTATAGAGGTGCCTATTCTTAACATTTGCTCACCTCAGCTGCAACCATGGTGGGCCTGAGGTCGGCGTGCACTCCAGTGCCTCCACCCCCGTCAGAAAATTTCTGGATCCGCCCTTGTCGTTAACACCCTGCAATACAAACATTGTTTAAGTTTTTCGTTACAAGTGTAATGAACATACCACGCTCGTTCGATTATGCATTAGAAATGTAATTAATCAAAAGGTCTATGCATTATATTCCTCACAGAACCCTTCAGTGGCAAGTTATTACCAATTGGACTATGGCTATTAGATTCCGTTTGTGATACCTACGAGGACGTTCACAATTTGTACAATGTCGGTCTGGTGTCTAGATTGTGCAATGAAGGGACGGAAATTCGCACTGGTGGCGGCAAAACACCGATTTCTCTCTTCATAAGCGAATATCCCAGCGCAGATGTCATCGGACTCACAGTAGCTGTATATATGTACCCTTACCTACAGTCAAATGGACCTATTATATTAGGATACTATAAATCAACTGAAGAATTGTTGATACGCCAAACACCAGATGCTGCTAGAAATGGTAACTCTCAAGTTGAAGTTTACATTCAAAACCACATGATCACCAGTGCCAACGTGTTCCTGCCAAACTCTTGGACTTTTTTGGCAGTCACGTATGAGAAAACCGGACGATTGGTAAAACTTTGGCGTAATGGAGAAATAGCAAGTATCGGCTACGTCGATCTAAGTATAGAGTTTGTAGGTAAATTGCAGGAGATAACTCTTGGAGCAACATCACAGAATTCGTCTGGTTTACATGCTAAGTTGTCATGGTTGCAACTGTACGATCATGTTCTGAACGAAGCCGAGATGAAAGCAGCAATGGAAATTAAACCGACGTCACATCAATGTAAGCAACTACATCTAACATACTTTAAATACTCTGTTTCGATATTATATAAAATGTTTATATTATTTGAGTTCATTTAGATTTTGTATATTCTATTACAAATAGAAATCACAACCAAATTTCATAAAATTAATGCTCCGAAATAATGAGAGAGAGGCGTCCTCACAAAAACTATTTAGCACAAAATTATAAAATGTTGTAGTTATTTTATTATTAATTTGATGTTATGTATTGATTTTTAGATGCTACTATCTTTCAACGTGAGTCGTCAGAAAGTTGCAGTGAACATTCTCAGCAAGTCGGAGTAGTCAGTACGAAGAGCGCCACCATGTGTGCTCAGCGGTGCATTCGCCGCTTTATGTGCCGTCGGTTTACCTTTGATAAAACGTCATTAATTTGTACTTTGTATGTCAATCAAAATACTAGTTGTGGGTATAAGAAAAAAAAATAGATTTATCGCTCACGAACTGACGTCATAATTATTTCTGAGCCCACATTTATAAGCCTATGCCTTTAGGAGACTAACTACCCGGTTCCGTCAAAACACCTCATCCAGTAGATCTGCTGTTTAAGTTTATATACATGTGGAGAATATGTAAAATTATTTATGTGAATTAAAAGGTAAAATACTGGTAAACAACAATGCTGGGGTAAACAATAGCTGACTCTCGGAAGAGATACAAAATCGCTAAGCAGAAGCTAAAATGTAAATGTACAGAAAAAGAACTAGAATTTTTAATTAGACAACACTATAGGTCCTTCCTTAAGTGGCAAGTGTAATATTTACTGTATAATTATTTATAAAATAAATATTTGTAAATGTAATAGGTGGTACAGCACGTTTTTTTCGCCTTTTTTATACATTGAGCACCAATTTTTGGTGGTGATGTTTGCGCTTTAAAAATCGTTATTATTATTATTATTATTATTATTATTATTATTATTATTATTATTATTATTATTATTATTATTATATTACTTATGGGAATATAGATTGGTTTATTAATTGATTGCCGATATGTAGAGTCCTCTGTAGGTGGATGGAAGAAAGTTATGTTATCTTTTACTAATTAGCATACTCTATAGCACAATTAAAGAAGATAATTAATTATTCATTTTGTGTTTTTGTTAGTGATCAAAATTAATGCAATGAGGGAAGTGTGTGCTGGCTGATTAGGAATAGAAATATTGATTGACTTTTTTATTGATTTAGTGAATGATTGGCAATGTGTAGCAACTGTGTCATCTTGGTGAGATAAAACTCTAAACCATCTCGCCCTAACCGGGATGCGATTTTTTTTCCGTACGAAACATTTACATGAAACTCCACTCGGGACGTCTCGACTGAATCGACCCGAAAATCTCATATTGCAGAATTCAAGTCAAAAGGTCATAAACAACTTCTGATTTGAGAGAACGTCGCTGTCTAATTTTTAAAAATACATTGATGTTACCATGCTAATATTAATGGGTCTAATATTTGATTGAGCTGCACGAGTAAAAAAGTGTTATTTTAACTTGATTTACATACTGTGGCAATTTTTATTTTTTAGTTAGGTCTGGGTTTTGCATAATTACCTAGGCCTAACTACAAAAAATATACGCTTTCTGGTCGAGATCCATCCGAGGAAAGCACAGAGAGTAAGGAAAAGCGCGTTTCTCGGGGCGTTTGATCAAATGAAACAGGGTGACAGTTATTTTCAAATTAAGAGAAGAGCTGAGAAGAGGCAGCTCTAAAATACTGGATGCCATATGCCAAAATGGCAGAGCACCAATGAATGTATAAATGAGGCCTAAGCCTAGTTATTAATATCAGGCACAGTAATCTGCAGATTCTTGATTACAAGACTAGACCAGGTTAATTACATGTAATGCCGAAATGATTATTTATTATTATTATTATTATTATTATTATTATTATTATTATTATTATTATTATTATTATTATTATTATTATTATGTTACTAAAACCAACCTGTAGGCCTACCTTAAGGGGAACTTAGACAAAGGAGGATTTAGAGAACAATTAAAAAATCGACGTTAAGGGAAATAACACAAAAGATATTCCCCCTGGGCTAGTTATTAATTATAGGCCTAGTAAATAGTATGGTTCTTCATTACAAGGCTTAGGTCAAGGTAATTAATGCTGAAATTATTATAATTGTTATTATTATTATTATTTATTATTTAACATTAATTACATTACAAGGATAGTTTGGTCAAGTTCAATAACGCCGACGAATGGTATATTTTATTTATTTAATAATATTTCTCTTATGCACTCTATTTTTTATTTCATGCTTTAATTTTTTTCCATTTTTTTTCAAAATTTCAATCAACGTCTGTATGTAAAGCGTGACTGTTGGTGTCAGCATAGGACCCTAGGCCTATACTAGGTGGACTTAACTTAGCCTGTAGTTCTCTCTAGCCTCTGGTATTACTGTACATTTTATAAAAGGGGGTACTAGCTGTTGTTGTTGTAGATATTATACTAACATTTAATAAACATCCCAGAAGGTCACAGTTAGTTACACGCGTACATCCCATAAATCCGTAAGATATCATAGGCCTACCGTAGGTAAACATAGAAAGAGCAATGATAGTAAAACTCGAGCGTCACGATATTGCGAAGTGTCTGCTCTTGTTCCTCGTATCGAACCACTCACAATTTTTGATATGCCCAATGACTGGGTTGAAATTACCCAAGATTCAGCAAAAATTGCCCAAATTTACCCAAGCTTCATGAAAAGGCATTAAGATTTGAAAAAAGCCCGTGTTTTCGCATGTATAGTTTCCCTTTTAGTTCAATTTATAAACCATTTTTATTGTAATTGTTTGTTAATTATTAAAATTAATATTCATGAGGTGATAATACAGATAGAAAAATACGCCCTCAGTCGGCCAGTGTTATCAGTGATCAAGTTTTATTATGTAATGCATTAATTAGGTAAGATCAATGGCAACGCAAATCACATTTAAACAATTCTGAACCCCTGTTTATAGCAATTAACAGTCAATTAACAATGTTATGTGCACTTCGTTGAGTTTTGCTTACTTGAATGGACCATGGGCCTATTAATAGGTCCATGAATGGACTGACATATACTTTGTTACTTCTTTATTCTTCCTCTATGACAAAAATATTTAATTTTCTTAGTAAAAATAAAATACCCAAGGATTTGGACGGAATACCCAAGAACCCAAGACCAAGTCAAAATACCCAAGATCTTGGGTAAATACCCAAGCAGTGGTCACACTGTTAGTCAGTATTTCAGTATTTCCGTATTTATTGGAACTCACTTTTAGATCAGTGACACACACACCTAGCAAGGTGGTGCGTCCATACAATATAGGCCTACATAAAATGAACAAAATGTAAAACGATCTTACAAGAAGAAAAGATAAAGAGATTTAAAAAAAAACCAACTTAATTAACTAAATTAACAAATCAAAATTAAATTAAATTAAATTAGTCGAGTCAATCCGATATGGCCCGAGTGAAGTTTCATGCAAATGTTTCGTACGGAAAAAAATCGCAACCGGGATTCAGACTTATCTCTGGACGCAGGGTTCCCGGAACGCCGCCCTCAGCGGCAAATGCGAAGCACAACTCAACACAATTTGGATATGGTTTTGTAGTCAGATTTGCGAGAAAAACTTCAGCGCCAGTAGGCTAGATTCGACTTAAATGAAATTACACACACGGTAGTCTACAGTTATAACGTTTATTCAGCAAGAACCCAACACATGTAAATATCGACCAACAATGGCTGACTCCGGTGCCCCGGGAGCTGTCTCTTATACACATCTAGATGTGTATAAGAGACAGGGATGTTAACCTTCCCGGCAAGATGCCGAACAGTGGCAGCAAAACGGCTGACTGTAGACCACAAGCGGAAACATCATGATGAAAGGGAAACAACTATGGAAAGAGAGAGCCGCAAACTGGCCAAACAAAATCGGGTGCACTCACCCACCATCAATAGTTTTTTTTTTTTGTCTCTTTTTTTTTT